CACCATCTCTGGTGTCCTGTAGTGAACCACAAGCCAAAGCACAAGACAGAATGCTGTGGTAAAAACATGATCCACCCCAGGCTCAACAAGAGAGATGATGAGGACACATCTTACACAACACAGTGTGTGAGAGTACTCATCTTGTCCCTTTCTCTCTCTCTCTCTCTCTACACACACACACACACACACACATATATATATATATATATATATATATATATATATCACTCCCTCCTTCAAAACCTAATGCAGGGGGCAGAATGTGGTTTCCCAGTAAGTGGGTTATGTGTAGCTCCAAATAGACATAGCCGACAATGGGGAAGACCTAAGTTCATTCTCCCCGCTGTCTTCAAACTTCTCTGAAATGCAAGCATGTCATGGCAAGCTATGAGAACACCATTATTACTTCATGAATATAACCAAAGTAATTTAGCTCTCGTAGACACTGGTTCAATTACATGTCTTGTGAAGAGGTGGCTCCCATTGTTTCTCAAACGGCCCCTCCTGACAATGCATTAAAACTCTCCCCTGAAACTGCTTCGAGCTCACATTTGGCCAGAAACGATTCTAGTCTGTTTGTCAAATTTGCACACAGAGCACATGATGGTGATAGTGCTATCAGGACATACCCAATAGTTTTATAATGCCATACTAACTGAAAATGAATTTAAATTAATGAATTTTTGAATAGTACCATTCAACATATTTTTAGTGAAAGGTAAAACTTCCGAAATCTCAGTGTAAACAATGCGTGACAAAGACGCGCGAGAGATCACTTCCGGCGTAACGTCTGGAGACGGTTCAGTTTGGTTCAGTTGGACATCTGATTCAGATCAGTTCGACGGCTGTTAACAAAAAGGTAAAAACTATATAAATGCTGTTCGTTTTCTCACACAAACCGCTCGTTTCGTGTCTTAAGCCATCAGTGTGTACTTACATTCTTCCTCTCTAGACTCTAGAGTCATTAAATCATGTTTAATTTTGACTTCTCTGTGCATGCTCTTTGAGGTGGACCCCATAAAACTGCATTATAGGACTGACAGACAACACCGGTTTGACCGAAAAATGTCAAAATTGAAAATACTGTGGAAACAAAGACACCTACATCTTGGATGCCCTTGAGGTAAACTAAAACATATCAAAAATTTATTTCAAAGTGAACTATCCCTTTAATAGAACAGGAACAACCCGCTTAGGCCATGCAACAGGCACCAAAACGATAATATCCAGTCATAAACACGGAATTTAGTTGGATAACATGGAATTTCACGACATTTATATATTTTTTGAGGAATAAATAGAAAGCAGTTCAGTACACTTCAAATCGCGATGTAGACTAGTGTGTGTGTGAATATTAAACTACAAAGACTATAAAAATACTAATCCTGCATGTTTTGTGTATGAATGGTTCAGCCGACGCACAGTTTTTATTTACCACACACTGACGTATGAGTGACGCTTGCGCTGTATTTTGGCCTATATGAAGACACAAATGCATGAACTTCCTCTCCAGACTCTAGATCCACTCTGAAAGTCACATCGTGATCATTTAACCACTTTATTTAAGAAAAAACTATCATGACAAACACACAAAATCCTAAAAGGTTTTCACAGCAACCCGTCAAAATAAAAGTTTGGTTTAACTTGACAGAAATATATTTCTGTTGTACAGTAGAATTTAGATATGTCCCAATGTAATAAAACTAACCCTAATCCAAATAAATTATCATCAAAACTTAATTTAAGGAATAATATTTTTTTCTTCCATGTTTTAATTTTAACAGTAAAGCTCATGCAGCACTTTATTTTACAAAAAGTTTATTTAATTTCATGATTAAAATTGATGATAAATTATAAAATTTGTGTTTTAAGCCCCCACAGAAATAGTGACATTATTTTTCATTGTGTTTTTTAATATTTTTATGTGGTATAATTTTAATTATTCATAAAACATGATTTCAATTAATTAGACATGCTTTTTGGTTAGGCTATTAAAAAATGTACACCACGTAACCGTAATACGCCCGCTCCGCAACACTAGCAGTGTTTGTCACATTTTTGCAATCCACTGCGCTGTTTTTCAATTGATTTTCTATGTAAACGCTCAAGTTAAAAGAAAGTTCAACTTTTAAAAAAATCATGCCTATAGAAAAATAGATTTAGCCGGCATCTAGCCTTTGCTCATATGGACATCTGACTGTTAACTAGGGTTTGGTGTTTTTCAGCAATAGTGCTCAACCCTAAGGATATTAAATGTTTGACACTTCAATTCCAGTATCTAATAAATATTCTTAAAAATGAAGTTCATTTTCACTTGAAAGTGTGTATGCCTACAAAAATTAAATGGTCTTAAAGGGACAATATTGTTTAATCACAGTAATTTCTGGGACAATCTACTGCACAAACGAAAAGCAGTTATAATGACAGGCCTATACCCACACAGCACTACTTGGCAATTAAATGCATTGGCATCACAGCATTTCAAGCTAAATGTGTCATTAGTAAACAAAGGTAGAGAGAATGCAAGGTGTCAAGGACAAGCGGAGGAAAAATAAACAGAAAGATAGAGCACTCAAGACGCTGTGTCACCATCTCACTTTCACAATCTCATCTCCCTGTCTAGATTTAGTGCTGTTTTCTCAGTTTGACACAGAGTATATGCCATATGAAAGAAGGGAATGAGAATGGCATGCATATAAAGCAAGCCAGGAGAAATTTGAATGCACATTCAAGAGCATCTCCTGAAATTAATTACATCCACTACAGCCTTATTTACAAACTGTTATGTCAGGGGTGACAACATTCTTGACATTAATTTCTGTTTTTTAAATTGTGTGACAGTTTACTTCAGTAATTTAAAAAAATTCTAAATATATTTACATAATGTTATTTTATTTATATATTATTATTATTATTTTTTATGATTATTTTTTAAATGTTTCCTTTAAAAAGTTTAGCCGATTTAAAAAACTTGAACTAGCATACATCTTGCACAAGTACATTAGTACATAAGACAGCATTTCAATAAATAAATAAATATATATATATATATATATATATAGCATTAATATATATATATATATATATATAATATATATATATATATATATATATATATATACTCTTTTATCCAGCATTTAATGATTTGTTGAAGTACTACAGCTCTCTACATATTACAATCGTGAGGACAATCACAAAGTGTCTCTATGACCATCCTGTACACTTCTCCCATTGACAACCAAGCCAAACACCACCCAGCATTTCCACTCAGCCTCAGACAAGAAATATAATCGCACAAGCTGATAAAAATCCAATCTTTTCCAAACCCCCGCCCCCAGCTGTAAAAGCACGGAGTGACGTTCTCAGAGAGGGGGTTTAAAACAGCTTTGTTGTGTAAGAACTACAACCTGAGCCGCATGGTGAAATCAGAAAGGTTACACCGCCACAGAGAGTCCCTCATTTGATTTTCCCAGGCTTTTACCAACACGCCGCACACGCTTTTCTCTTCAAGGAGTGCGGAGCGCCTGTTGACTGATGACCCCCATGAGGGCTACTCATGTGGAGAATAAAAGCACAGGGATGGACCTTAATGGACCTGAGAAGCTCCTCTCATGGATGGCCATCATTGACAAATTTACACACATTTAAATGGTGCATGCAACATGTATCTAACTAGAACATTACAAAACAAACTAATGTATTTCACACAATGTTTTTCAGCAATTCACACAAAAAGAACACGCAATTTTTACTGCATTTAATCTAAATATCAGGAAATCAACCCCACACTGAACCCAAAAGTGCAATGGGCATGTTATGATGAGATGGGCTTTACTAAATGGGCTTTACTAAATTAATCATAATGATCATTACAGAATAACATTCTCTAGAATGACATCATCTCACAGGATTTATGCAGTTAAACCAGGACAGCATTAAAAGAAAGAGAAAAAAATAACACAATAAACTAATGTTGCAAACTGAACGGAAAACCTGGCGCAGATGTTCTTCTGCACCATTTGTAAACATGTGCTGGCCGACACCGAGGCTCAAAAGTCACAGACACGTGCAGTATTTTTGGACATCATAGGTGTGTTCTGAGTCAGCTGAATTTGTGCTCTTGAATTCTGCACATGCAAAATGATTGCCAAAAAGCCTGTCTAATAGGTCCACTGCACTTATGCAGGGATGAGATTTATTTAAATGAATATTTCACCCCAATAAATTTGAATTGTTTCATCATTTATTTAGGCCTGTATTAGGCTACTTTAGATATGTACTGTAAGATTATTTTTCTTCCTTGGAAGAATAATTTGTTAGGCAGAATTGCACTCCTGTTGAATCTTTGTCCATACAGGTTGTCGTTATCTCCTTTTGTGCTCCACAGAAGAAAGAAAGTCATAGGACTTTGATACAAAATCAGGGTAAGTAGCCTAAATGATGAAAGAATTTTCATTTTTAGATTAACTGTCCCTTAAATCACTTAAACGCAACCACAAAACTAAATCAATATCGACCATGTGCTGTCCACTTCAGTGAGTCAATGCAACTGCAGGACAAAATCATTTGAGATCTATCAACACATAACTAAAGAAGACAAAGTAAAATCTTAAATGACAATAATGAGCTATGAAAAAATGTATAAGAACTGTCAAATAAAGTATTACATGTGCACTGCCAGTCTGAATCATTCTGCAGACTGAAGATGCCGAGTATGAACACGCCAGATGCAACGTGATAAATATGTCCCTAAAAAGGTGACAATGTTTTTGGGTGGTCCCAGACTCCAAGCTCAGAGCATCCTTGACTTCAGACAGGGAGACGCATCCGCACGCGCTGATGTTAAGCAATTTCCCCATCACATTACACATCTGGAGTGCAAGCTTGCTGGAATTCAAGTTACACTTATGCATGATGGATGTTTACATGGTCGGATTTGCACATATCCAATTTCGCTTGAGGAGAGCACCGTTAATTAAGTTTAAAGAGTGCTTACTCACCTTACAGCTCGCACACAGATGCAGTCAGTCTAGCGTCCTGTCCGAGCTCAGCTCAACCCGGGAGAAATCTTGACCGCGCAGCATTCCCTAATTTCCACCAGCGCCATCCAGCGCCGCAGTCAATACATGAAGATCTCGCGATAACGACGTTCTTTACAAATGCAGTTCTCGCGATAAAGGCTTCCCTTTGGATTGAGGACCGATCTGCTACCATCTGCTGGAGCTAGTTGGTATTGTACGTCAGAATGCCATTACGTAACCAATTTTGGTTTTGTGTAGACAAAGAGAGAGAGGTGTGAATTCTGAATAAAGCTTCTTGGCGTGTTCCTAGCAGTGCAACATTGTGTAATAGTAACAACATAGGACAATATAGGTGCATATTCCTGAGTCCTGTGCAGCATTTTTAACAAAGTAGGCTATAAATTAGTGAAAGTGCTTAACTGTCAGAACATGCTATTTATCAACTTCAGAAGGACATATTAAACATTATATAATCTATTTTATTACATCAAATACCATAAAGGTTAATTAAAGCAATAATGGGTAACAGATTATTAGCTACAGGTTGTTAGAAACCTGTACACAGAATCTCTTAGAATGCAATTTGCATCTAAAATATGAACATTTACTTCATCCTAAAGACCTGGGTGTTATATTAGACAGAAACTTGTCTTTCGAAAATCATATTTCAAATGGTACACAAAAAACAGCCTTCTTCCTCCTCAGAAACATTGTTAAGCTATACGGAACGTGACATCTGTTTCTGATGCAGAAAAGTTAGTTTATGACCATTAATGACCTCTAGATTACAGTAGGTAATGCATTACGAGCTGGTTGTCCTTCATCCTCAATAAACAAGCTACAGTTAGTGCAAAATGCAGCTGCTAGAGTTCCTACGACACAAGATAATATGATCATAACACCAATTGCATTTTTAAGTTAGGCTACGTATCAATTACAAAGTATTGCTACTGACCCATAATATAAGGCCCTAAATGATTTAGCTTACGTGTATTTAACTGATCTTCTATCGGCTTACAATACATCATGATCTTTAAGCTCACAAAACTCTGGGCTTTATCTAATTCCACTAAAGGAGGGAGAGCGTTTTCATATTTGCCTCCTAAACTCTGGAATAGCCGTCCTGATAATGTTCGGGGCTCAAACTCACCTCAGTTTAAATCTAGATTAAAGACCAATTTCTTTAGCCAAGCATTAATATAATGCATCTCATATACCAAATCAGATCAAATGCACATTATTATCCATGCTTAACGTTATGAACAGCAGCTACACTAATTATTTTTTATTTGCTTCTCTGTTTTATCTCGGGATGCCCATTCTGAGGACACTGCCAACTCCTGAGAGAACTTCAGATGACACAAACTATGAATCAACATGTACTATTCAACATTTTTCTATAGTCTATGTCATAATCATTTGTTAACAAATAAGTATTTATTACTTCAACAAGCTATTTTCCTGCCTTAAATCACAAATTGTTTAAATTTACATTTTTATCTAAATGTGATTTGCATGTACATTTCAGAAATCACTCTAAATTGTAATGTGGACTGTTTTGTGAAAAAGCGCTACACAAATGCATGTGGATGTCATTTAATTGAATTTAGCCTAAATTATGCTGAGGAGTAAGTAATAGGAGCCATCATCACTTCTTTAGGGGCAAAAACGAGGCTAAGTGTTATAGATTTTGCATGTAAAATGAGGGACAGGGCTGAAAATTAACTTAAGTTGATAAAAAAAACATTTTTTTTCTACTACAAATTGGATAACAGCTTAAAATAATATGAAGTTGATTCTAAATGCTATGAGCAAGAAATACCAAAAGTTGGCACAGACAAAAAAAACACACCATTTAAAAGGGTCAGTGCAGAATAGGCCTATACTGTTATCAGTTTTAAACTAGCAACTATTCATGCTTTGATTGGTTTTGTGCATGTGTTTTTTTTTAGATAATTAATTCTTTATGTATTGCTTTATCTAATTTTAAAGAAATGTGACATACTTTGAACAGGAGGTGAACCTGCTAAACATCAAAATCAAGATCAAAACATTATTAATACAGTACACTGACAGATTGCTTCTTTAAATAAGAAATCAGACCATATTCCATTTAGGGACAGAAGTTTATTTTAATGCTAGATCATTTTAGGTTCTTTATATGAAGAGTTCAGATGCAAAAGCCTCTAAGTGCCATTTGAAATTTTCTTCTAGAATGATCATTTTTATCAAACTTGTATATTTAAGTTCAGTGATTTCACTTAAATGGCAATGATAATTACCTATTAATTGTTATTTAAGTGAAATTACTGAACTTAAATATACAAGTTTGATAAAAATCATCATTAAAGAAGAAAATTTCAAATGGCATTTAGAGGTTTTTGCATCTGAACTCTTCATATGTCTATCATAGATCATTGCAATGCATAATGTGTCTTCCAACTGAACCAGCAAATCACAACATGCAATGACGTGTTTCCATTGTAAACAGCACACAAAACAATGGGAGAAAAGGCAAGGATCATTCCTTTCTCATGCAAATACGTATCAGTTGTTGTTTTCCGATGTGAGTGCACAAGGTCCCTCTTTGCTGGTCTGTGTATCTCTGTACTCATCTGTATATGGCCGTTACGTTAAAGCATACTGTATGTTGCTGTGTATATACACCTCTGTGTTCACATAAGATTTCTTAGAGGTCGTCAGTCTCTCCATCAAAGGGGATGTTGTCCAGCTCCATGTGGATGTGGCTGTGCTCCTCATTGCATGTCCAGCCGATCGGAGTGCGGTTGAAAGAAGGCCGGCAGGAAAGGTTAAACTCGGGCGCTGGCTGCGGCTCCTCGTCGCTCGCCTTGATTTCAGGGGCTTCAAAGGTGACAAGACGAGAGGCCTTGTCAAATCCTCCAAAGGGCAGAGCCACTCTTGTGGACAAGAACAACATGTAGATGTGTCAGTTGAATAACCACTATCAAAAGGTATGGCGTCTGTTTTATAAATGATAAAATAGCATAGTACCTATTAAAACTCTTGTACTTGGGAAGTTCCTTGTGAACATGAGGCCCTGGCATTTTCCACTTCATGGTTTCTTTAAGTTTCTCATCATCTTTCATAGCATGTTCCACACGTCTCTTTTCCTTCTCGGCCTCAGCATTTACTTCTTCTGCCATTAGTAGAACAGAAAAACAAAAATCTAAATATTAATTCCACGGACTTATAAGTTTGCTGTTGGAAAATAAATAAATAATGGAACAAGGTGAGATTAAACCTTGAGGTGGCTCTGGTTTGGGAGATGGTTCAGGTGGAGCGGTCATCTCACATTGCAGAGAAGGAACCGAGTTCTGGAGGTTTCGCTACAAAGGCATGAGGAACAAAAAGAAGATCATCCTGTTATGCTGTATACTGTGCATTTAAAGTTTCATTAACTTAAATAGTGTGTAGAGATAAGTGAATACCAGAATGTTCAGAGTAAATGTGAATTTAATTACACTGTGGTCTTATTACTAATTTCTTAAAGGGACACTCCACCCATTTGCATTAAGATTTCCATTGTTAGAAATCCAGTCATAGCCTACTATTAAATGGTCGTGCAACACTCTCACATCTTCCCCTGAGACAAGAGAAATCTGCTATTTACCTTTTTCACTTCCTCCCACAATGACGCAAAAATCATCATTTCACATCTATTTAGGAGGAAGTGCGGGGGGGATTTCTGTAAAGACTACAAGCACTAGTTCCCACTCTTTTAAACCCACCCATAGGGGGTTGGACCTAATGCGCAAACCGACCTATCACAGATCAGTGCCAGTGTCTTTGATTTCACCGGCAGAAGCTTTTTTGAAAATATGGACGAAGGTACTGAATACGCAGATGGATGCATTATGGATAGGGTTGGGTACCGAAACACGATGCCAAAGACAAAACACTCCAAGATTTGGCTACATTTCACGTGTAAAATTACGCATCAGAGTAAGTGCGCCGATGACGCGGGCGCCGCCTTGACGCTCTTACGTCGTCATATTATATTAGTGCGCATTGTCTGATTTCGTTGTGTGAAATGATTTCCAGGCGGTAGTGTAGAGTGGACCTCAACTCTAGTCTACATTGATGGGCGGAGTAGTGGGTGTGGCCTGTGAGCAGCATTGCAATGCACTATGGGGATTGTTGTCTACAATGCACAAGCACTAAAAAGTCATTTTCTGCCTTTTATCGGCCAAGACGGACCCAAATTAGAAATTTATGATAATTTTACCACATATATGACCCTCTTTTATTACATATTCATGTCTCCAATGGTGAAATTAACCTTTAAATTGTTTACATGATGAGCCATCATAATGCCAATGTTATATTTGTTATAGAAAGACAACTTGATCCTGATCCAGCTGTCAGGGTTTATTTTGTGATCCCGATACTATGCAATAACACTATAAACCTATATTTCCTATCAAAGCTATTGTTTTTCTCATGCCTGTTTTGCTGACCAGGTTCTCGTCACTGACGATGAATTTCTCCACCCTTTTCTGTCGCATCTTGAACATTTTGGAGCCCTTGTTTTTCATGAGAGACAGCTCCTCCAACATCACATCTCTAGGGGCCTTGATTTTGGTCCCCAAGTCCAGTTCATTGGCTTCAGCATTCTCATCTTGCTGGTCTGGTCAAGATCAGTGACGTGGGGAAGGAAAAAAGGTAAATTCAGTCAGAATGCCACTTTCAAATCATAGCCATTAGCCATTAAACCTGGAGTCAAGCCACATCCAAAGGCAATAACAATAACATTATCGCCACACAAAATTAGCGTCTCGTTCCTGAATTTATCAGTGTTTTTTTTTTATAACAAATGACTCATAAAGCCTGTTTGCATCTGAAATTCCATCACTGAAAAGGTTCTTATTTCGAAGAAGTAATTACTTTATATGTGTGTGAATGTGATCTGGACGAACTACACTCGCCTTTTTGTCATTGTCATGTGACTTACAATGTCAGTTCCGTCCCAACTCCTCTAACCTCACTATAAAAAAAATATTTTCAAGATTTGATATCACAAAATTTTTTCTTTTGTCAAATCAACTTAA